TGGTGAGGATGGCATAAGGTCATGTGAAAAGTATTTGTAGATGAGAAAGCACTGTCCAAATGTATGTGTTTCTTTATGCCCCTCCTTCCGCCAGAAAGGCCTGAAGGTAGCTCACAGGGACAGGTGACATAGAGGAGTAACAAAAGCTAAAACTGGAAGCAAAAAAAAAAAAAGAAGAAGATGATGATGAAAAACAAAGCTGCGAGCCTACAGTGAAGCTGGAATGAGGCAGGGCAAAAGCAAACACTCACCTCCTGCTCACCTGGCTACCCAGCCAGGCCACAGGCTGAGACTTCCCAGAAGCTCTTCCTGAGGCCCTCCAGAACCCACCTCCGCCTCCTCCTACTTCCCCTCTTCCAGCCCCTACAATTTCCAACACCCCTGCCCTGCAGCCTGCCCAGGCTTCCCACACCTGCTTAATTCTAGCCTCTGGCTTTTGCTCATGCTGTTTTCTGTTTCTCCACTCACTTGCTCTCCCCACTTGTTTCTTCTCCCTATGTGGACCCTCCCATTCAATAGCGCCTCCCGCTGGCACACCAGCCTTTGACAGCCTCCAGCTCACAAAATCTCTCTCCACAGCCATCCCACCATGCTGAGTCATTCTTGATTATGTGCTGTCATGTGTGATTTTCCCACTCAAATGAACATTTTCTAAGCACTGGCTGTGTATCGGACACTGTGGGAAGTTCAATCCTGCCAAAGATGACGTCTTATTCCGCTCTCAAGAAGCTTCTACAGAAATGGAATTCATTGGCTTGGTAGCTGAGTTCTGTGAGGCACAACGTCCTCCTTCAGAGCCCTGGGAGGCCCCTCTGGATAACTCACTAGAGACTGCAATGGAAGAGCTTCCAGTGTCCAGTCCTCCCTATGCCCTTCACTCACACTACCCACCTGGAACTGAGGCTTGGCCCACCTTCTTCCTTCCATCCCCAGGAGCATGAAAACTAAAGCCCCTTCCTAGTGCCTCTTAGACTGGGGCAGAACCTCCACCATATCCTCAGGATTGAAGACTGGGGCAGTACCTGTTTCCTCCATGTCCTCACTGAAAGCATGAATAAGAAGCGGGGGATTGGCATTGTTCTCTTTGCCTAAAGAGCCAACCCGACAGACAACGCACTAGCCTTTTTCAACCAGGCCTCTTAGAGGGCACACAGGTGAACCAGGTAAATTGGCAGTGCCCCAAAGCTGATGAGAAGGGGGTTGGAGCAGCAAGCTACCCTTGATGTCCCATCATTCCTTTTGGTTCTTTCACATTAGTAATAATTATAACTCCAACTGTAATAACAATAGCTAACATTGGCAGAGCTTTACTCAATGCCACTGTGTTAAAGCTCTCTCCACGGCTTGTCTCATCTCATCCTCACAGGAGCCTTAGGAGCGAGGTGTTATTTTTATCCCCATTTCACAGATAAGGAATCCGAGCTTTCTCCCCACAGTGAGGATGGATAGGGAATTACTAAACAACTGAAGACAGGCAGGAAAGAGGAGCAAAGATGAACACCCTTCCAGAGACACCCCCTTTCTCTCTCCACCCCTTCTTTTTCCCCAAGTATCTTCCTTTCCTTCTCTAGAAGAAATAAAGTTGGAAGAGAAAGAAGCAAAAGTGAAGTAAAAACAAATAGAAGGACCTAAAGGTACATCCTCAGTTCTGTGGTAATACCTACCCCATCACCCACATCCCCACCCACCAAGGCACCAGTGGCAGGGGATGGAATAGCTAAAGGAATGAAAGGAGGGGCCCCACCTCGGTTACACAGCAGTAACCTGCCTGGGGCCACCAAAGACCAGAGTTCAGATCCCCAGTGAGGTGCACCTCACTGGGTGGTGCAGCAGAGTCCCCTGGCTCAACCTCTGACCCTGGAGAAGTTGGCACGCACCACTCCCAAAGCCCCACTGGGCCTCTCATGGGAGCTCCCTCCTTTACCTGGCCTGAAACAGGATAACTCCTCCTGGGCCAGCCCCAGGTCTCCCAGGCTGACAGCTCTTCCAGGCTGCCCTGGCCCTCACTCCATCCCCGCTGTGGCCCCAGAATGGGGAAAGGTCCCGAGTCTGGTTGAATGGCATCTATAGCACTGCAGCCATTCAAGTGTGACTTGGAGCTTCCCAACCCCATGCTGGACTCCTCATTACCCACTCCTCCAGTTTGTCTTGCCCCAGACCCCAGATCACCCTGGATAGCGGGTCCCCGAAACAAGAGTTCTTTAGAATGCTGCCATCACCTGTCCCTAGGCAGTTGCATCCTCCAGCACAAAGATCCAAACTCCTGCTGCAAAGTTCTGCTCATACCCTTTAAGAAAACTCTCAACCCTTCCTCCACTTCACTGGTTCTCTCTGTGCCTCCCCAATGCCTGATAGATGTCCAGTTACTGCAGAACATAACAAGTACTGGGATAGATGATCCAAACACAAGTCATGAACAGCATTTGTTAGTATAGTAGACATTTCCGTAGGACACAGATCATCCCAGTGGTCCTCATACCCATTGGCCAAGTCCCATTTTCCTCCCCTCCTCCAGCAGAGGGTCCCTACACTCCAGCAGGCAGGCTGAGCTGGCCTGGCTCCTCCCTGGAGCTCCAGGTAACCCCATCGCAATGCCCATCCCCTCTCCAGCTGCCCCAAGGGGGTGCTCACCTTACCGTCTAGGTGCTCTTAGAGGCTGCTGGCTGGTCCAATTCCTTCTCTGAGAAACGGATCAGCCAGACCCAGTCGACAGGCCAGCAGACAAGTGGAGGTGGGCGGGGAATCCAGGCAGGAGTGGCCTGGCATTTCCTGGCAGAGTCCTGCCTCCCAGCTGCCCTAAAGAGGGGTGAAGGAGAATGTCCCTCTCTATTGGCAAAGTCCAGCCCAGGTAAGGGAGTAGCTGAGGATCCCAGAAGTCAGTGACCTTGCTAGTCTAGGTCTGCAAGGAAGGAGGGAGGGAGGGAGACAACCTGGGTGTAGGTGCTGCACCTTGAAACCCCTCCCTACAGTGCCCTCTGCTGGTGAGTGGCTGTCCCCAGCCAGAGGCTATTATTAAATTAAAATGGCAGGGAGGGAACTTTCATCTGAGTTTCTGAAACTATAATGTGCCCCGCAGTCACCTGGGAGATCTTGTTAAAATGAAGGCTCTGAATCTGTCGGTCTAGTGTGGGGCCTGAGATTCTGCAGCTCAAAGAAGCTCCCAGCTGATGCCAATGCAACCGGTCCAGGGAGCTTAGAGAGCATCTAGTTCCACCCGCTCCCTGCACAGAGAAGACAATGGAGGCACTGAGAGGGTAAATGACTCACCAGTTGCTGGTGTACCTGAGATGTACCCATATCTGTTCCTTACACCAGGTGCTTTCTACTTCCCCCACCCAAAGTTGGCAGAAACACTACCGCCTGGGAGACGGCTGAACTTTGGGGCCATTTGCCATTCTGAGTTCTGAGAAACTCTGACTAGGAGCGATGGCACCACAGAATGAAAACTCCTTGTGGAGAGGAACTTTTCCCGTGTTTTCTGCTGTCTCCTCAGCTCCTGGTACAGCCTGATAGATAGAAGGTGTTCAATAAAGATGTCTTGAATGAGTGAATGAAGAAGTTGAGAGGGAAGAGGATGCATTTTGTTTTTTTTGTTTTTTTTGTTTTTTTTGTTTTTTTTTTTTTTGAGACGGAGTCTTGCTCTGCCGCCCACGCTGGAGTGCAGTGGCCGGATCTCAGCTCACTGCAAGCTCCGCCTCCTGGGTTCACGCCATTCTCCTGCCTCAGCCTCCCGAGTAGCTGGGACTACAGGCACCCGCCACCGCGCCCGGCTAGTTTTTTGTATTTTTTTAGTAGAGACGGGGTTTCACCGTGTTAGCCAGGATGGTCTCGATCTCCCAACCTCGTGATCCGCCCATCTCGGCCTCCCAAAGTGCTGGGATTACAGGCTTGAGCCACCGCGCCCGGCCTGAGGATGCATTTTGGATCCAAGTGACCGACACTGAGCCCAGGTGAGCGACAGGTTGGCTATGTAATATTAGGCAAGCTACTTAATTTCTCTGAGCCTCAATTCCCTTGTCTGTCAAATGCAGATAAGAATATCTACCTCGTGTGAGATAATAATTGTCATTATTGAGCTAATAAATGTAAAATGCCCACCACTGAATGGGTGGTCAATAGATGGTAACTGTTATCACCAGGGTCTGGCCTCCTGCAGTTGAGGAGGCGTGGTGAACGCCCCTAGGCCACTAGTTATCATCTCCCGTAGAAAATAAGTAACTTCCTCTGCTTTTGTCTCAGTTAATAATTCTCTAGCCTCTTGTCTCTGACTGCAATCCCCTCCCCTCTGCTTCCTTCCCTGGTGGAGGTGAGAGGGTGGAATAAACCTCCCACAGGAGCCCAGTACCCCAAAGTGCAGACATGTATCAAAGGAATGGGTAGAGAGCAGGCAACCTGGGAAGCAGACCTCATGCCTAAAGACAAGCCAGGAAGGGTGGTCAGAACTTTGAGAGGGAACGAAGGGAGTGGGGTAGGGGTGTTCGTCTTTAACAAAGCTCTGTTTGAGTCACACAGGAGGCTGGACTTTGCCAACAGATAGGGACACTCTTCCCTACCCCTCTTTAGGGAGGCTGGGAGGCAGGACTTTCTGCCAGGGCGCCAGGTCACTCCTCCCTGACTCCCCACCCACCTCCACTTGTCAGCTCCCTTCTCCTCTGAGTCATAAAGTCCTAGGGGTTTGTGAAAGATCTGTCGAGCTAGGGTTATAAGCCAGGAAGGTCATGCCAACCAGGAGGCTATAACCGGGGGCTGTGTTCATGGATTATGAACTCACTTCCAAAGCTGGTGCTTGCCACTCTTGGGGACAATCCCAATTATAAGGAGGCTCCTGGAGAAATCTGAAGGCTCATACCACTCACTCCCATGGCCACAGAGCTGTTTCATGGGATGCAGAGACCACAGCCATCAATAGCATTATAACTGGGGGCTGGGCTGTCACAGTAGGGCCAGGTCTCTCAGTGTCAAACCCTCACCACAAACCCTCAAACATTCCATCAAGGGGTAGCCTCCAGAGGCCAGGCACCAAGGAGAGTCTAGTAGGCCAGGGGGCTCCTCCTGAGAGGAACTCTTTGGGGCCATGAAACAGCAACTTGGACTTCCCAGCCAGTGTCACCACCCTTCTCATCTGAGAAAAGCAGACCAGCTGGGAGCACCACTCCACCCTCCTCCCAGCCCCACCTTCTTCCCAGCCCCACCCTCCTCTGCCTTCCACACATCATATGTCGTCAGGTCCCCCACCAGGAAGGTGTGCTGCCAGAGGTAAGGGGAGCACAGGCCTGGGAACGAGGAGGTACTGGGAGAGGCAGGTGTCAGGAGAAAAGAGGATGGGGCCAAGGAGGGGCAGGGAGGGGGCCTCCACCACTGGACAGAAATGTAGAAAAACAGGAAGGCAGAAGATGAGCAAGTGGACAGTGAGGAGCAGAGAAAGACAAGTAGAAATATGCACAGGCGGGCACGCTGCTCAGCTGTGTCCCAGATCCTCCAGGACCAGTGTCCTCGACCCTTGACAGAAAAGGATGGATTAGGGCCGGGCACAGTGGCTCACGCCTGTAATCCCAGCACTTTGGGAGGCCAAAGTGGGTAAATCACCTGAGGTCAGGAGTTCGAGACCAGCCTGACCAACACGGCAAAACCCCGTCTCTACTAAAAATACAAAATTAGCCAGGCATGGTGATGCACGCCTGTAATCCCAGCTACTAGGGAGGCTGAGACAGGAGAATCACTTGAACTTGGGAGGTGGAGGTTGCAGTGAACCGAGATTGCACCATTGCACTCCAGCCTGGGCAACAAGAATGAAACTCTGTGTCAAAAGGGGCCTTGGTTGTAGGAAGGTCTGTACATTGTCCCGCATGCAAATGACATGCAAAGCAACATGCCAATCAGCATGGCAGCATTTTAATCAAAGACCAGGCAGTTGTTTCCTTGAAAAGTCAGGCCACAAGAAACCTGAACACTTAACCTGAACACTTGTGCTTACATCCTGACACTCTGGGAATGGAAAGACTGAGCAGGAAGCTCATCCCCCCTGGATCCAGGGGTAGAAGAGAGCTAAAGGTTCAGAAAAAGGAATCCACAGTGTCAACAGGCCAAGTTTGAATTTGGGCAGGAGATAAGCCTGGGTGTGCCCCATGAGTGTGCCAGTCTAATATGGTGAGATAAGCCTGGGACAGATGGGCTGCCGTATTTGTGACTAGAAAAGAGCCCCCAGGAATCTCTGGCTCCTGCCTTCAGATTGTGATCTTTCCAGGTTGGTAGATCAGCTTAGGTAGAACAGTTCTCAATGAGGGCCAGCTACACACCTGGCTAAGTGCTGCCCACTGTGGGAGGCAGAAAAGCTGGTCACCCGGGACCTTATCTCCAGGAGTCAGAAGCACTTGGAGGAAGGTCTTTCACTCAGAAGCAGTTACCAGTGCTGGGCAGTGTCCTCCAAGTGCCAGAGGAATGCTGTGGAGAAAAGAAGTCCATGGAAGCCAGGAGATGGGCAACGTGGGGCCTGGGGTTGGAGAGAGCTCAGAGGTACAGGACTGGAGCTGGACCAGGGAGAGAGGAAGGACCTCCATGACTAGACCTCCTCTGAGGGGCTCAGGCCAGGAAATGAGTCAGGTTAGGAGGCAGAGACAGACGAGGAGCCGCAGGGGAAGGCTCATCACTAGCGTGTTCTCTGCCTCCCCAGATTTTGCCTCCTAAAGGTGAATGCAGCTTCAAGGGGCCATCTTTGTGCTCCTGCCCCACCTGGGGCCCATCCTGGTCTGGCTGTTCACTCGTGATCACATGGCTGGTTGGTGTGAGGGCCCGAGGATGCTGTCCTGGTGCCCACTCCACAAAGTCGTATTGCTTGTACAGACAGCTATCTACTCTGTCGTGGGGTGAGTACTTGTTTCTCACACATGGCCCTGGTACCCAGTGGGGTGGGAACAAGTCCCCTGTATCTGAATTACTCCCATATATTGGCCTCCAAAGGCAGGCACTTTGGCTTGCCTCTTATGGTGGGTCCTCCAGAAAGTAAGAAACCCTCTATGCCTGCCTGGGGTTCCAGTTAGCCCTTCTTCCACCCTCTCTAAGTCTCCCAGCCCCTCCCCAACCTCGCTGTGCCCAGCTCCTCCCACCAACTCCCTCCCTAGCCCTTAAATGATGCCTAGACCCATTCGCCCCCATTTCAGCCCACAAGGGTATCCAAGAGTCCTTATGCCAGAGAGTCTCCTCCATTCACCGTGGAACCTCCCATTGAATGATTTTGCCACCATCTCTCCACAGCTATGCCTCCTACCTGGTGTGGAAGGACCTGGGAGGGGGCTTGGGATGGCCCCTGGCCCTGCCTCTTGGCCTCTATGCTGTTCAGCTCACCATCAGCTGGGCTGTCCTGGTTCTCTTTTTCACAGTCCACAACCCTGGTCTGGTAAGGCACACGGGGATCAGTAGCAGAAGTAATGTGGGAGAGGGTGAAACCACCTGGCCCCAGAAGCACATAATTTGGCAGAGCAATTGAGTGCAGGCAGGTAATGGATGGGCAGACTTCTCTGCACTTCCATGGTGTGCACAGAGCCCCAGGGACTTAGCTTGTGGCTGGGCTGGGCACTGCAGAAAGGTGGAGGTGCTGGTTCTTGGGCGGCCAGCTGACCCCCGGCCCCTGTGCCCAGGCCCTGCTGCACCTGCTGCTGCTGTATGGGCTGGTGGTGAGCACAGCACTGATTTGGCATCCGATCAACAAACTGGCTGCCCTGCTACTGCTGCCCTACCTAGCCTGGCTCACCGTGACTTCAGCCCTCACCTACCACCTGTGGAGGGACAGCCTTTGTCCAGTGCACCAGCCTCAACCCACGGAGAAGAGCGACTGAGGCCTTAGGGCACGGGAGAGGAGGGACGGCCAGGGTGGGGAGGAAGAGTCTGCAAGCAGGGCTGTGGAGCTAGGGTTCACCCCAATGGGACCACCCTCCTGGGTTCCCTGGTGCCGTTTTTCCTTAGAAATCAAAGAAATGGGAAAGAGGGGGGAAAGCGATTTCACACTTAAATAATAAAATCCTATTAGTAACTCTGAAGGTATGATGTGAAGTGTGTATTTGAATGCATAATATGATGCCTAGGGCGGCAGAGTGGGATGGAAGCTTCTGGACCTGTGTGTGAGTGTGTGTGCGTGAATGAATGTGTGAAGGCCCATGGGGGAGGGGTGGGCACACCAGCTCACCTCCACTCACATGCCTCCCCCCCCGGCATAAAGATTTAGCACTCAGATGTTTAATTGTCTGAAAAACAAAAGGTTTTTAAACTGACAAAAAAGCCAAAACAGAAAAATACACTTTATAAAAAGGGTACTACAGGGCCAGGCACTGTGGCTCATGCCTGTAATCCCAGCACTGTGGGAGGCCAAGGCAGGTGGATCACGAGGTCAGGAGTTCGAGACCAGCCTGGCCAACATGGTAAAACCCTGTCTCTAAAAACACAAAAATTAGCTGGGCACAGTGGTGCGCACCAGTAGTCCCAGCTCCTCAAGAGGCTGAGGCAGGAGATTCACTTGAACCCGGGGAAGCGGAGGTTGCAGTGAGCCTAGATCATGCCAATGCACTCCAGCCTGGGCGACAGAGTGAGATTCCATCTCAAAAAAATGTGGGGATACTAATTATACATGTTAAGGTTATATAGTATATATTATACATTAATTTATATATCAGATTTATGATGCAGTATCTCGTTATAACATATATTATCGTTATATGATATATATGTGATGCATCTCTGATAAATAAGATTATAGACCTTCTTTTTTGCTTTCATATATTCCTATGCTTTCTTTATTTTACATCAGTTAATCACTATTAGAATAAGGCAAAGAACATTGAAAAAAAAAAGAGATTATGCCTCGGAGTGCTGACAGGTGAATTCATAAGAGCTTCTTATTCAGCCTTCTATCTTGCTTCTCTTTTTCTAAACCTTCTTAGTGGCTTTTTCATTTTTGTCTCCTCCCTTCTCTGATTTTCTTCTGTCCTTGTTTCAAAGCCCTGATGGTGGCAAGGAGTGACTGCCCCTGAGTATGCCTCCTCAAATCTTTAACAAGGTCAGCTGGAAGACCCAGACACCTTGCAGTAGGGGGTCTCCACCTGCTGCATGATGGGATCACCAGCAGTGTTTAAAAATCCTCATCAGCCTCTCCAGGGAGGAAGCCTGAGCATCAACATTTTTAAAACGTCCCGAGACCTCCCCAGGTGCAGCCAAGGCTAAGAACCACAGCTGTTTGGAGCTTCTTAAAAAATGCATATTCCTCAGACCCCACTCAAGACCCATAAATGAGAACATTGTGGGTGGGCTCTTGGCATCTTTAGATTTAAAACCTCCTGAGCACTTCTGTCAGCTGCTAGCTAGTTTGAGTGCTTTGGGCACAGATCATTTATCAGGGCCCGTTTAGCCTTGACAATCTGAGGTTTCGTGAGCTGAGTTTTAGAGCTGAAACAAACTGTGTGCTCTCAGGTGAGAAGCCAGCAGGGCAGCATAATTTGAGAAGGGGAGTGGCTCTTTCCAGAGCTCACCCAAGAGAGGGAGTCTGCAGCCTCCCCTCCTCCACCAAGGGCATGCTCAGCCCAGTGGGTCAGGTCACGGGCACCCCAGGACACAGTGTCCCACCCACCTTTGTATCTCCAGCCCCAGGGCAGGGCAGAGCACAGAGTAGGTGCTTGTATGTTTTTATTTGTTGATTAATTTAATGAATACATGAACACATTGTCATACTTCAAAAACAAATGATGACCAGCACCCTGCCGCCACCCCTACCCCCACCCCTACTCTGGAACAACTGAAAAAAGAATGGTAAGGCTTAAATCATTTTGGAAACTCCTGGTTCTATTGTGCAACCAAACTGAGATCCGTTGCTGCAGGACACTGCTTCTCAAAATGTGCCCCAGAGACCTCCTGAGACACTTGTTGGGACTCCAGACCCATGAAATCAGATCATCTTGGGGAGTGAGAGCAATAGGGCATGGTGATTTGCAGTTCTGGTCGTGGAGTCAGACCAACCTGGGGTTGGATACTGACTCTGTTATCTATTAACTGGTAACCTGGTGCAACTTTTAGCTATAAATACTGATTGACAGAGGAGAGGCTAGGAACCCACAATACATGGGTTCTTACCCCAGCTCTACTACCATTGTGTGATCTTGGCAAGTGGGTACTCCAGACTTTATCTTCCATTACCATTACTATCATCTCATAATAATATATGCATTGTAATATTTGCTACCAATTTTATTCATTACCAGCTAATTCTAGAAGTTAGGCGGAACCTCCATAAAGATGTACGATGCCTATGGTATTACTTTGACCTCCCCAAGGCAAGCTGGAACCACTAACCCATGCCTCTAGCTTTGGACTTAGCCCTAGAAGAAAGCTTAATTTGGGCAGTGTCCCAAGCCCTGGGCTGGCATGACTGCCTGATACAGCATGAGCCAAGCTAAAGAGATTTTTGGCCATGTGCAGAAACTCAGCATGAAAGGGCAGAATCCCAGCTCCAAACTCTTATCCTCTGACTCCAAAGTTGTCCTTAAAATCCCCCTCTGCCCCAGTTCCTTGGCTCCTGGGTGAAGGGAGCCTCTAATCCCACAGTCTCCCAACCTTCCTGGGACTCTTGTCTTTCCCCTTACCCACTTCCCAGTTCAGAGCCCAGCCTAGTGGACACCTGCCTTTGGCCCTCTTGTTACTTAAGAGCTGTGCCTAAATAGACTTGGAGCTGCCTCTTCTCTTTGCAAGTGTGTCCCAGGATTCCACCATTCAGATTGTGTGCACATTTTTGTTCTGAGGCAGTATTTTTCCATTTGCCTCTGATTTGGTGAGTCGGAGAGAGACAAGATCATAAGGCTCTGCAGATCTCCCATCCAGTGGCTGCAGAGCTACTAGGTAAAACAGCAGATCCAGGAGGTGTCATATCTCATTCTTTTGTATCCTAGTCCATCCTTTCCTCCTCTAAACCTTCACTCTTCCTTCACTCTTCCTCACTTTGCCAATTTCTGCAGAATGGAGACATAGAGGGGCTAGGTGAGATGGCAGACTAGTAGGTGTATGCCCAGTGGACAAAGGTTGGTCAGCTGGGCTAGGAACGGGGCAGAGTGCAGGATGTATTTATTCTGCACATCTCTGGCCCCTCCTACCTACAGGCAGGTAGAGCTGCTTCGTAGGAGAAGCCTGGAGGCCCCTGAATGTTGTCAGTCCTGGGCCAGGGCTCCAAAGTCTCTTTTCTTTTGTGAACGGCCACCATCTGCTCTATCTCTTGGGGTTCCCCTGCACCCCAAGCCCAGTTTCAGAGTCTTCCCAGAGGGCCCCTTTCTTGTAGTTCCAGAACACAAGCACACAATCCTTTGAAGGATTTTACCGCTGATTCTCATCAGCAGCTCACAAGGTACTCAGTCCAAAGCCCAACTTTGCTGAGAACTTCCTCAGATCTCCACCTGCCTCTTCTATCCTCAGGTAGAGCCCACCAAAACATTTACCCACCTCCCAGACTCCTTCTCCCCCCACCCCTACAAAGTCGAGGACACGCCATACATTTAGGCTCTTCTTCTGATATGGAAGCCAGGGGAAGCTATCCCTGGTCATACCAGGGCCTCGGTCATATTCATCAGGGCCTCATTTATCCCTTTCCAAGGTCCCATGGCCCACACAGAGATTATCTGCTAAGAGAAGCACCAGAAAATCCCCCTAGCTCTTCCACTTGCACCTACTCCAACACATTTCTCATCTTAAGGGCTGAAATTCTCCTCTCAAAAGTTGACTGTAGTTTGTCACCTCCTCCCAGTAGGTTCTTTGGCCTTGCAAACACCCCTTCAAAGAGGAATACTATATATATATATATTTTTTTTTAATCTCGCTCTGTCTGTTTTTTTTTTTGTTTTTGTTTTTGTTTTGAGTCTCACTCTGTCGCCCAGGCTGGAGTGCAGTGGCTGGATCTCAGCTCACTGCAAACTCCGCCTCCCAGGTTTACGCCATTCTCCTGCCTCAGCCTCCCGAGTAGCTAGGACTACAGGCGCCCGCCACCTCGCCCAGCTAGTTTTTTGTATTTTTTTAGTAGAGACAGGGTTTCACCGTGTTAGCCAGGATGGTCTCGATCTCCTGACCTCGTGATCTGCCCGTCTCGGCCTCCCAAAGTGCTGGGATTACAGGCTTGAGCCACCGCGCCAAAGAGGAATACTATTAGTCATTTTAATGTCCATGATCCTTATCAGATCACTTTCTTCAAAGACTGAAAGTGCCAACCGCAGTAGCTGGGCAGTGCCAGGAGTAGCTACTGGAATGGAAACCATGGTGACCAGGACTAAAGTCCCGGGAGTCACCATTTTACCCAGGGTGGCGTGTCCCACATGGCAAGGCAAGGATTGTGTCCTGTACAGAAGACTGTAAACCCTGCCCTGCCCTGTGATTCTGGTGCCTTCTCCAATCCCAGCCTCAGACTCTGGGAGACCCTTGGCCCCCTCCCCTCTTCACTGGCCAAGGCTGCTCAAAGCCCTGGACACCTCGTGTTTATATCAACAGAGCCGTTGCTAGAGGAAGCAGCCTCCTGCCCTCCAGAGGGGTGTCTGGTGCCCGAGGCCTGTTGTTTGTGTACCTTGTCTCAGTAGTGACCGGAGGGGCAGGCACGCCTGGGCTGGGTCTCTGGGGCAACGCACTGTTGGGGTCCCAGCTGTCCCTGCACATAAAGCACCAACTCCATCAATGCACCCCTGAGGTATCCTCTTTCAGGGAGTGAGAATTTAAACCTTCCTCTGGTGAGGCTTCTATTTTCCACCAGCCCCCCTCCTGGCCTCTCTGCTCCCTTCCCAATGAGGGCAGCTCCATGTCCGGCCAAGATCCAAGGAACAACCGTGCCTGACCCTGTCTTCTCCTTCTCAACCACCTCCTGGAATCTCTGAATGTTTTCTGAAATGACCGTGGGAAATGGGACAGGGAGAGGCATGCTGCAGTGTATCCCAGGCCTAACCCAGCTCCTTCCAGCCACTGCCATCCCAACAAGAAGGGGGCAAGGACCGGCAGAGACAGGATGGGAGAATTCCAATTTTGGTTT